TTTTTTTTTTTTTTTTTTTTTTTTTTTCTTAAGGAGTTCTAACTAAGGTTTCAGGTCTTACATTTAGATCTTTAGTCTGTTTTGAGTCTATTTTGTATATGGTACAAGAAAGTAGAATTCCCTTCCCCCCTTTTTAATGTTAAAAAAAAAAAAAAAAGGACCAACCATATAGTTTGTCTTTTACTGCTATCTTTGGAAATCATTTTTTAAAAATAAGCTTTAAGGTATGGGACTCCTAGGTGGCTCAGTCAGTTGGGCGTCTGACTGTTGATTTCAGCTCTGGTCATGATCTTGTGGTTCATGGGATCAAGCCCCACATTGGGCTGTATACTGACAGCATAGAGCCTGCTTTGGATTCTCTCTCTCCCTCTCTCTCTCCACTTAAACTTGCTCTCTCTCTCAAAATAAATAAAAATGAAAAAATTTAATAAAAATATGCTTAAGGTATAACTTTTTTTTTTCCATGTTTATTTTTGAAAGAGAGAGAGAAAGGCTCAGAAAGAGAGATAGGAGGTCTGAAGCGGGCTCTGTGCTGACAGCAGAGAGCCTGATGTGGGGGTTGAACACACAAACTGTGAAATTATGACCTGATCCAAAGTTGGATGCTTCACCAACTGAGCCACTCAGGCACCCCTGTTAATGTATAACTTAATGTTTACCTTGGATGTTCTGTTTGACCTAGTTCTTGAGCTATGTTTTCATATGTTATCTGCTAGTAACTAAAAATAATTCATTTAATAATATCTTTGTGAAATGGAAATACTAACTAGCCTGTATTAACACTGATGGATTGAAATGAAATAATACTAGCTTCTTTCTAGCTGAATTCTAAGCATTCTTATGGTTAATCAGGATTCTAGTTACATGTACTATTTTGTGTAAATATTTGGTTATGTCATTGAAAATCTGTTTTCTGTTAACCAAGACCATCATAATTGTTAGTCAGTAATTATATACAAGAAATGAAAGGAAATAGAACAAGATCCCCAATTTCAAAGGCTTATAATCAAATTAAATATTAAAGTACATATCAATATAATCTGTTGCATGCTGAGTGGCAGATGTATACACAGTATACCCAGGTGTGCTCCAAGTGTTAGTGATGAATTGGTTATAAAAGATTTCTCAGTGGACATAGGTTGTGAGTCAGGCCTTAAATAAGACAGAAGAGTTAAGAGGCCAGTCTAGTGTAAGGACCAACATTGGATCTCCTTGTATTTATGCAGCAACTTTTTTGTTTTAATTAATTTTTTTTTTCTTTTTTCTTTCCACACCCAGCTCAGAGCCCAAAGCAGAGCTTGAACTCACAATCCTGAGGTCAAGACCTGAGATGAGATCAAGAGTTGGGTGCTTAACTGACTAAGCTTTACTGTTAGGTGGCCCTGTAGTAGCCCTGTAGTAACATAAATACAAGAATTTAATTAGGGAGTTTATATTGAAGAGACTCAAATGACAAGCTAAAGAGTTTGTAATTGGGAAGTAGAAAAATACTTTTGTGCAGTGGGTGGTGATAAAGAAATAGGATTTTAAAAATTCAATTGTTCAGTTAATTTGATTTCTTAAATGAGAGGTGCCATATAAAAGTAGTTATTATTCATCTTTCATAATTATAGATTAGACCATGCTCATGTTCCATGCATAGATTAGAAAAAATTGGTATCTTAAATATAAGGTTTTTTTCCCCACATTTGTGGGAGTTAAAGCGATTCTTCTGGCCTATAAGCAGGTGTTAAAAACATCCTTTTCCCAGCTGAATATGATTTTTTACTTTCTGCATATTTCTAACCTGGGAAATACTGTATGTTTTTTCTAATACATACATGCAAGTAAACACAGATACTGAGGGCTATCTGTGATTACTCCATCTAATGTTTCATGAGTTTAAGTGCAATGGAGAAAGCTAATGACACGCATTATAAAAATAACCTCCATCTGTTAGAGTAAACACATACAAAAACTATGAAGAGCAGTAGACAAGGTGGTAGCACAGTTTTCCAAATCTTATAAATGAAGCTATTATAGTAGTAATAATTTGTAAAAATGTAGGAGTTAGTCAAATGCTCAAAATTGCCTGGATAAGCTAAGACACATCTTTTTCCTGTCCTCAAAGAAATTTATAACATAAGGGAAGAAAGAATAGCTTGACCGTTTCTCATACCTAGACACATACTCGCACCAGTCAAGATAAGACAATCTAGGGGTGCCTAGGTGACTCAGTTGGTTAGGCGTCCTACTTCAGCTCAGGTCATGATCTCACAGTTCATTGTTTAGAGCCCCATGTCCAGCTCTATGCTGACAGTTCAGAGCCTGGAGCCTGCTTTGGATTCTGTGTCTCCCTCTCCCTCTGCCCCTCCTGGATTTGTGCTCTGTTTCTCTTTGTCTCAATAATAACCATTAAAAAATTTAAGATAGGACTATCTAAATCATCTTTAGTTTTATTTCCCTTCTCTTTCTAATATTGTTTGAGGGACTTTGGCAAACAACGAAGATAATTGGAAGATACTGGATACAACTGCAAATAAGAAAAAAATGAGAGAAATATAAATTCAAAATGTTGTTCATGTAGGAAAGCCAGTAATTGCTGACCTTCTCATTACCCTGATTTTGTCTTTAACAGAATATACATTGTGAATGTATGTATTGTTCCCTGAATTCAGAGAAATGTATTTTATTGATTAGCTTTGTAGAAGCCTAAAGTCATTATATACTTCAAGTAATACAAAGAAAACATACTAAAAAGATAAACATAAACAGTTTACTTTAACTGTTTGAAGTAAATAGATTTTATTCTTGGATAAAATGGAATATGCCCATTTGTACAGTCAGCTCACAGGTTTGTCCCTGTCCCTGTACTCAGGAATTAAAGATGTCCATGAGAGCACATGTACCCCAATGTTCATAGCAGCACTCTCCACAATAGCTAAAACATGGAAAGAGCCTAAGTGTCCATCCACAGATGAATGGATCAAGAAGATGTGGTTTATCTATACCATGGAATACTACATGGCAATGAGAAACAATGAAATCTGGCCATGTGTAGCAACATGGATGGACCTTGAGGGTGTTATGCTGAGCGAAATAAGTCAGGCAGAGAAGGACAAATATCATATGTTTGCACGTATAGGAGGATTAGGAGGAACTTGACGGAGGAACAAGGGGGAGAAGAAGGGCGGAAATGGTGGGGGAAAGGGAGAGAGGCAAACCATGAGAGACTCTTGAATGCTGACAAAAACTGAGGACTGATGGATGTGGGGGGGAGGGGGGGATGGGCATGGAGGAGGGCACTTTGGGGATGAGCACTGAGTGTTATGTAGAAACTAATTTGACAATAAACTATTTGTAAAAAAAAATAAAATAAAAAAAATAAAGATGTCCATGAGAAGCTTACAGTATAGACATTTTGCTTTTTTTTTTTTTAATACATGTAACAACCAAGCAATTGTCCTAATTCTCTTTTTCCTTACAATTTCAAGGAAAATATTGACTGAAAGTAAAACATGAGCTTGTGTCTTATATGTGATTGGTGATAACAGAATTTTTTGTTGTTGTTAAAGATTACCTGTTTTATGAAAAATAGCATCAGAATTAACTCATTTTAGACATTTGTCTTGGGCTTAGTCCTGAATTGTATCACCAGATACTGGATTGTAATCTGGTAGGGATTAATTCTATTTAAGATTTTTTGTTTTTGGTTTTGGTTCTCAGCTCTATTTTTATTTTGGAGTTGTGCAAATGATCTACTTCATGACTCTGTCACCATATACTCAATTTGCAATGAAAAGTAAACCAAGAGTTGAATTTTACAAAGCTTTAATCTAGAACTGCTTAGTACCACTAGGGTTTTGGAAAGTCCTTTAGAGAAGTAGTCTTTGTCAGTCGGTAACTTTTTTGGATTGTGTTGTTGCCCTCAGTGCTTGATAAATGGTGGGGATGGAGGAGGGGGATGGTAAGTAGCTTCATTTCTGACAGGTTCTGTCCAAAGCTAAAGGAAGAGCTTTTAACTGTCTTCATTTTATTTAACTAGGCTTAACCCACCCTTTCTGTCTGTTAGCCAATTACGAAAAGGGGAGCAAATAGCCTTCTTTTGGGTCATATGTACAGAAGACAACATTTTCTATTAAAGACTTGTGTGTTCCCTTAGCTGCCATGGTCTGCAGCCTACTGAGCTAATGTTACCAGATAAATAACTAGTCCAGATGGCTAAACTGTTGGAGGATATAAAACCAAAACCCATTTCAGGAAGCATTCCACTTTGTACATTTTTGGATAGGATCCATTCTAATTAGTGGTAACTTTCTGGATTTGTTTTAAAATTTAATTTGTAACTGTATGTTTTCTTGATTTTTACCTAGGTTACAAAATACTCTCCTGTGCTTGAGATCCACAGACTACGTGTCCTACGAGAACAAATCAATGGTTTTTCATCTCCTGGAAGTACATTAGAAACATAAATATGGTGCCAAAAGATATCCTTACCTTTCTCTGACTACAGTTTATTTGGACATACTTTTGTACTGAAGAGAGGTATACAGACTGAGGCTACTCATTGTGCAAAGACTCTGTCGTGTAGGATCATGGACCATCCTAGTAGGGAGAAGGATGAAAGACAACGGACAACTAAACCCATGGCACAAAGGAGTGCACACTGTTCCCGACCATCTGGCTCCTCAACATCCTCTGGGGTTCTTATGGTGGGACCCAACTTCAGGGTTGGCAAGAAGATAGGGTGTGGGAACTTCGGAGAGCTCAGATTAGGTAAGGACTTGTTTATATCAGTGGCTTCCACAACCACCAACAGCTATAATTAGCTTTTGTATGTTTCAAGACAAGAAGTTTATGATTTTATGAGAAATTCTTCTAAGGAGGACCTGTTCGTATAAACAATAAAAATTTGTGAAGGGGACTAGAGTCATTATCAGTTATAATTGTATCCAAGGTTCATCTTTGTTTGTGTGTGATAGGCTCTTAAATTTACCACCAGTTCTGAGCTTTTATGGTGTAGGGAGATGTGCATAGAGATATCAGTAAAAATAAAAATTCTGATTTAGTTGTTCTGAGAGGTGGAGCCCTAATTCTGTTTAACAAATTTCCAGGTGACCTAGATATCATTGGTCTTTGAGCCACACTCTGAGAAGGGAGTAAGGCCTTGTTTTAATTTAGACTTGACTCCTGATAAGGGAAGAGTAGATCCGTACTCAGTAATACGCAAACTCAGTCTGTAAAGAAATACATCCTGTTCAGAGAGGCTTTCCAACTGATTCTATGTTTGCATTTCTTCCTGGAAATTCCGACATCCAAATTGAGCTAGAACTCCAGGGAGAAATTATGCAATTTTTTTTCCCAGCCAAGGAAATGGATTTTTTAATTTCAAATATGAATTTATGAGTGAGATGATGAAAAATAACAGAATAAAAGCAAAAATTGGGAAGAAGATACAGTAGGTATGTATAAACTTTTTTATGGCTCGCCCTGAGTGAATTGGTAAGAGAAAATGAAAGATATAAATACATGAAGTTGGACATCATTGTGGAGAATGTGAAGAGGTCCTCTTTTAGGCTAAACTATTAGCTTTTTCTCTATAGCCATTTTGGCTATGGATTATTAGGAAGACCCCCTGTAAGAAACTGTGGCCCTTCAGGGAACAGAAGTGTAGGAGCGTAAGATAATTATTGTTTGTTAACTCCACTACTTCTAATCTGCAAAAGAAGAAGGAAAAAACATCTTGTCTGTAATCCCCCATAGAGAGAGTCAGGGAAGCATCACTACACTAGCCAGAGATCACTGGGTGCAGAATTGAATTTAAGGATGCGGAGAGTAAATTTATTTTTACCAGTAGAAGGCCAGCAGCCTGGAATTTTAAGACCTGACTAGTGTAATGGAAGGCTCTTTATATTTAGTGATGGTCGGGTTAGCAAAGCCAGCAGATGCTACTGAGAACAGGAGTAAGATGTGTAATTTCACACTGTTTGAGTTCCTAGCAACTACTGAGTTGTTTTAGAACCTAGTTTCTTGAATATTCATTTATGTAATGGATTGACTTTGCTCTAACACCACAGTAGTAACTTGGAATTAAATAGATTATGATATAAACATCCACAGAATTACTACTGAAAGGCAGTAATTCTGAAAGGCATATGAATTCTTGCATTCTCAAAACATCACAAAATTGTTTAATTTCTCTAAAGGTGAAGAAAAGCTGTAGTCACTGAAAACTGGAAATCTGTCTTATTTAATTACTAAAGTTTGGATTTGTGTTATACGATCTTTAAGTTTACATGGGATTAGAAAATCTATCTGAGTCTATTTTGAATCTATCTTACTGAGTTAAAAGGACAAATTTGTAGTCCATGTGTATTTTAGAGTAGTAGAGTGTTCTGTTTTATTTCCTCACACGAATTGAGGATAATTTTGATAGTTCTCATTTTGGCTTGCCTTGTAGTCAGTGAAAAGGCTTGTCTTTCTTTTAAAGTAGTTTTAGTCTTGTGTGCTTATCAGGTTTTCATTAGCTCTGGGACCATATTGTCATGACCATTGTATGTAGGAATATTTTAATCAACAGAAATGAGAAAAGACTCTTGTAGAATCATTTGACATCTTCCTAACAGGGTGGGTATGCTAGGTACGCCATTCCTTTACACTTTGGCTGTGACATTAGTAAGGAGGAGGTTGTGTGGACAACAGAAGATGTAAACTAGGAAATTTCAAACTCAAGGCAGGTAAAGATGGGCCTTCACCAAGGCTACCACCTACAAGGCCATGTTTTCTTCTCCAAATTCATTTCTTTGTCTAGCTGCACTGTCTCTCCGCCAAATCCATTTCTGCTTGAGAGCTTTTCACTTAGAGTTCCTTCTACTACAGAATTCTTCCCCCAAATTTTGCTTGGGAGGTTGCTTCTTATCCTTCAGGCTTCAACTTTTGTTACCTTCTCAGAGAAACCTTCAGCAATTTCTCCCCGACCTCCACTTAAAATGTCATATTTCTCCCCTAGCTGTGTTCTGTCCCATCAAACACTTTATTCATCACATGGATCACTACCTGAGATGATTTATTTGTGTTTACCTACTAATTGTCTCTCCTTACTTGAATATAAGCCCCTTGTTGGGTGGGGTTCTTTCTGTATTAACTGTTGTTAATTTGTGGAATGGATGGATAGATAGCCAGATGAGTAAATAGGAAGAGAAAAAAACATGACCTTCTTCAGACTCCTGGTATATGGGGGTGATGGTAGGTAGTGGCCTTAGTACCACTGGATTTAGGTAGAGCTCTGGATCCTAGACAGAGGGAAAAAAACAATGTAATGATTATTACATTTTGGTTCTCTGCAAATCTGTTTCCAACCTATCATCTATTTAAAAAACATTTCTTGAATAATTACTGTCTTGCTAGACTTTGGGAAAGATAGAATAACAAAATTAGTTTCTGTCTTAAGAATCTCCATCTTATAGGGCGCCTGGATGGCTCAGTTGGTTGAGTGTCTAACTCTTGATTTTGGCTGAGATCATGATCTCAAGGTTTGTGAGTTTTAGCCCAGTGTCGGGCTCTGCACTGACGGGTGCAAAGCCTGCAAGCCTGCTGGTGCTTCTCTCTCTCTCCATCTTTCTCTCTGCCCCTTCCCTGCTCACTCTGTCTGTCTGTCTGTGTCTGTCTGTCTCTCAAAAATAAATAGAGGCACATGGGTGGTTCAGTAAGTTAAGTGTCCAACTTCAGCTCAGGTCATAATCTCATAGTTTGTGGGTTTGAATCCCACATGGGGCTCTGTGCAGACCACTCCAAGCCTGGAGCCTACTTCGGATTCTGTGTCTCCCTCTCTGCCCCTACCCCCCTTTCAAAAGTAAATAAACATTTAAAAAATAATTAAATAAATAAACTTAAAAAAACACTTCCAAAAAAAAATCTCAGTCTCACAGTTTAGTGGTAGAAAGAAAAACAAATAATACATTGTGTAAAAACTGTATTGGCAGAGATTAATGAAGGTTTCAGAGAAGAAGTATTATTTGAGATTAGGATAGGATTTCCACTGGTGGGCACAAGGAAGAAGGGCTCTCCAATAGTAGGATCACAAAATATTATCAGAGCAGCAACTAGTTGTACATGACTGGGTTACTGGATGTGAAGTAAAAGAAAAGCAGTAGGTACCATTAGGTAGGTTGAGACCAGATTGTGAAGTGTTTGGATGGTATTAAAGCATTTGGACTTTATCCTGTAGGCAGTGGAGTAGACTCATCAAGGGCTTTACAACAGAAGAGTGATCTGGTTTGTGTTCTACAAAGATAATTCAGGTAGTTGTAAGATTAGATCAGATAAGAAAGAGATTGACATCTTGTGGATTTTGCTCTAGTTGTAGTACTTGTCACATTGTATTATCATTCTCCATCTCTCTGCCTCAGGATAAGCTTGATGGTAGTACTTTGCTTCGTTAATCTTTATATTCCCAGTTCCTTTTTACTGTTTATGGCATATAATGTGTAGTTTAAGAAATGTTTAATGCGTACTTAAGAAATGTTTGTTTGGCTTTATAGTTTAAATCAGAAATGAGTGGAACTACCTTAGCTCTTAGTTATGAAAATAGCAGTGAGACTGAGACGAAGGGATGAATGAGGAAGAAGTTTCAGAAGTAGGCTATAGGCCAGATTTGACCAACCAGTTATTTGAGGGGAAGATTTTCAAGATGACGGAGTTTGCCAGTTTACTTGGAGAGACCAGGTAAAACCTTTTTTTTTTTTTAATTTTTAAAAAATTGAAATCCAAGTTAACATATAGTATAATAATAATTTCAGAAGTAGAATTTAGTGGTTAATCACTTACATATAACACCCAGTACTCATCACAAGTGCCCTCTTTAATGCCCATCACCCATTTAACCCATCTCACCACCCAGCAAGTGTCAGTTTGTTCTCTGTATTTAAAAGTCTCTTACAGTTTGTCTCTGTTTTTATCTTATTTTTGCTTCCCTTCCCCTATGTTCATTGTTTTTGTTTCTTAAATTTCACATGAGTGAAATCATATGATATTTGTCTTTCTCTGACAGATTTATTTCGATTAGCATAATACACTCTAGTTGTATCCGTGTTGTTGCCACTGGCAAAATTTCATTCTTATTGATCATTGAGTAATACTCCATTGTATGTATATACCACATCTTCTTTATCTGTTTGTCATTCGATGGACATTTGGACTCTTTACATAATCTGGCTATTGTTGATAGTTCTGCAATAAAGTGCATGTACCCCTTCAAATCAGCATTTTTGTATCCTTTGGATAAATACCTAGTAGTACAATTGCTGGATTGCAGGGTAGTTCCATTTTTAATTTTTTTATGAACCTCCATACTGTTTCCCAGTGTGGCTGTACCAGTTTGCATTCCTACCAGCAGTGCAAAAGTGTTCCCCTTTTCTGCATCCTCGCCAACATCTGTTGTTTCCTGAGTTAATTTTAGCCATTCTGACAGGTGTCAGGTGGTATCTCCTTGTGGTTTTGATTTGTATTTCCCTGATGATGAGCTATACTGAGCATCTTTTTGTGTGTTTGTTAGCTATCTGAATGTCTTCTTTAGGAAAGTGTCTGTTGATGTTTTTTGCCCATTTCTTCACTGGATTACTTGTTTTTTGGGTATTGAGTTTGAAAAGTTATTTATAGATTTTGGATACTGATCCTTTATGTGATATGTCACTTGCAAATATGTTCTCCCAATCTGTTGGTTGCCTTTTAGTTTTGCTGATTGTTTCCTTCATTGTGCAGAAGCTTTTTTTATCTTG